AGTGGCCATGATTGTGCCACTGCACTCCAGTCTGGGGGACAAGAGTGAGACTCCAACTCAAAACCAAAAAATTTGTATTATCTTTTGAGTCAGAGTCTTACTCTGTCACCTAGGCTGGTGTGCAGGGGCACGCTCATGGCCCCTTCTGCCTCAACCTTCCAGGTTGCTGGAACCACAGGTGCGCACTACCATGCCCTGCTAATTTTTTATTTATTGTGGAGACGAGGTCTCGTCTTGTAGCCCAGGCTGGTTGAACCCCTGGATTCAGGCAGTCCTCTCGCTTCTGCCTCCCAAAATGTTGGGAGCCACCGCACTCAGCCTGAAACTTTCTTTAGAAATGTATTTAGACTTTGGGTCTTAGCCCTCAACTTAGACTATCTGGATTGGAACAGAAGGACTTAAAAATGTAGAAGCGTTGACTTCCTTTTAACACTGAGAACAGACAATGTGCAGCTTTGCTTGACTTGACAGCTACCTGTAACTGTCCTACCTGACTGCGTTTTGTAGATCTGCAGTAGGACACAGACTTATGACAGTAAACTAAAAACAAACAGAAGAGCAGGATGCAGACAGCAAAAGAGAGCAGGTGAAAGGAATTAGAACCAGATGCCAGCCTGGGAGTGCTTGGCTTTCCCTCCCTCCCTCCCCTGTCACCCAGGCTGGAGTGCAGACTTGCTGGGCTCAGGCAATCCTTCCACCTTAGCCTTTCAAGTAGCTGGAACTACAGGTGTGTGCCACCATGCTTGACAAATTTTTTTATTTATTGTAGAGACGAGAACTTGCCAAATGCCCAAGCTGATCTCGAACCCCTGGACTCAAGCAGTCCTCTCACCTCTGCCTCCCAAAATACTGAGATTACAGGTGTGGGCCACTGTGCCTAGCAGTGATTTCTTTCTTTCTTTCTTTCTTTCTTTCTTTCTTTCTTTCTTTCTTTCTCTCTCTCTCTCTCTCTCTCTCTCTCTTTCTTTCTTTTTCTCTCTCTCTCTTTCTTTCTTTCTTTCTTTCTTTTTCTCTCTCTCTCTCTCTCACTCTGCCACCTAGGCTGGAGGGCCTAGGTATACTCACGTCTCATGGCTCACTACAGCCTCCTCTGGATTCAGGTGATTCTCCTTCTCAACCTCCCAAGTAGCTGAGACTACAAGCGAGCATCACCACGCCTGGCTAATTTTTCTTTTCTTTTTTTTTTGTGAAGACGTGGGCTCACTATGTTACCCAGGCTGGTCTTAAACTCCTGGGCTTAAGCAGTCCTCCCACCTTGGCCTCCCAACACGCTGTGATTACAGGCATGAGCCACTGCACCCGGCCTGTTATTTTCTTTCTTAATCAGTTTGCTCTTCTAGACAGTATCCAGTGCAGGTTAGTCACATGGGTACCCTCATCTGCCACTGCCCACCAGCCATGGCCTACTTCCCATTGTGTGTTGACTGACATTTACCAAGTGTGAAGCACACTGGAAGATCAGGACATTCTTATTTTGGAACGTGGGAGATAAGACTCAGTCCTTGAAGTGTGTCCTGTGTGGTGACTGGCTTTGAGGGAATGGCACACACCCCTTGGTTGGAGAATGAGATTCAGGTAGAAGGGTTTTTGATCCTACCCCTTGCAAGGCCTGGATCTCAGCTCACCCACATATCTGGATGGTGAGTGGCGGATGGGGAGGGTGGCAGAAATGGGTGAATCCCAGAAAGGAAAGACACATTGTCACTGATCCCTGAAGAAATACTGCAAGACGCAGGGGAGGTTTCTTTCTGGCTGCTGTTAGTTCCACTGTGGCCGTCCTCCTGGAGCTGTGGTCATGATGAGATTGGACATTTGTGCCCATCTTTTTTCATTGTCACTAGAAAAGGACATTGCCTTTACCCATTTTCACCTGTTAGTCTCTATGGGAGTGATTTTTGTCCCCACAGTGGACACGTGGCAGTGTCTGAAGACATTTTGATTGTCACAGCTGGGAAGTATTACCGGCAGGCATCAAGTGGGTAGAGACCAGAGATGCTGCAGAACCTCCCATAGAGCACAGGACAGCCCCCCGCCTCCTAAAACAGCACTGTCCAGCTCAAAATGTTGTCTTTAGTGCCAAGGCGGAGGAACCCTGTTTCTAAACTCAGACAACACATTTTAAATGTACATTTGTTCTACTTATGTTTAGGCTTTAAGGTGTTAGAACAGTCTTCTCTTACATGGAAGTTGGGTTTTAAAGTTAGCAAATAAGGAAGAACTAACATGTGGTATTTTCTTTTATTGATTATATAGTATTTTCTCAAAAAATGTTGAAAATGTCTTAGTTTTCCCATAGAATTCAGTGTCGATAGCTTCATGGACATGCTGAGAGGCACATCAGATCTGAAATGAATTTTAAAAAGCATTGATAATAAGAGCAAACGCATAGCATTTACTCATGGCCAACACTGTGCCAGGCAAGTTTCTGTTGCTTATTATTTTTTTAACTATTAGCTCACTTCATTTTCACAAACCATAGGAGGCAAGACATGTTACTGTTCTCATCTTTCAAAAGAGACAGCAAGCTCACCCAAGGCCAGAACCTGGGAACCATGCCCAACTGGCTGGCTTGTGGCTTTAACTGTTCCATTGTCAGTTTTTTTACAGAATCATATGGAATGTAGCGTTGCCAGCACTACTCATTTTTCTTTCTTTTTTCCCAATTCATATGCAGTCATGTGCTGCACAATGACATTTCAGTCAATGACGGGCCAATTATGTGCTGGTGGTCCTGTAATGTTATAATACCATATTACTGTACCTTTTCTATGTTTTGACACCTACATACTCCCCATTGTGTTCCTGTTTCATGCGGTATTCAGTCACATGCTCTGCAATTTTGCAGCTAGGCTGGACCATCAAGATTTGTGTAAATGCTCACACAGTGACACAATCACCTGAAGACATTTCTTAGGATGTTTTTCCATCATTAAGCGACACATGATTATACTTAAATCTGTGTAACTTAAAAATGAACAGGATGTAGCAACTATACTGAAAAGTTCCAAAGCCAATAAAATAGAGCACATAGCACATGTTTAAAATGCCATGTTTCAGCCGGATGCAGTGGCTCATACCTGTAATCCCAGCACTTTGGGAGGCTGAGGCAAGAGAACTGCCTGAGCCCATGGGTTGGAGACCAGCCTGAGCAATATGGCGAAACCTTGTCTCTACAATAAATCAAGCAAATTATCTGGGTGTGGTGGTGCATACCTCTGGTTCCATCTACTTAGAAGGCTGAAGCTTAAGGATCACCTGAGCCCAGCAGGTTGAGGCTGTGATGACCATGAGTGTGCCACTGCTCTCCAGCCTGGGTGACAGAGTGAAACTGTGACTCAAAAAATAATAATAATTAATAAATAAAATGCCATGCTTCATTTTTTTTTTGTTTGTTTTGTTTTATTTTGCTTTGTTTAGAGACGAGGTCTCACTATGTTGCCCAGGCTGATCTTGAACTTCTGGGCTCAAGCAGTCCTCCCACCTCGGCCTCCCAAAGTGCTAGGACTACACACTCATTGTTTTTAAGATACTTTTTCGTTTTACATTTTAACATCTCCAAAATCAAGATGCATCTTAAAATCAATGTCATAATTTAAGTGAGCAGCATTTTCCACAAAATATAATATGCATATGCTAATTGACCTGATTTAGCCATTCTGCAATGTATACATATTTCAAAACATGTCGTACATGATAAATCTATACAATTTTTATTTGTCATTTAAAATAAAATAAAATAAATAGCCAGGCATGGTGGCTCATGCCTGTAATCCCAACACTTGGCCAAAGTGAGAAGATTGCCTGAGCCTGGGAGCTTGAGACGAGACTGGGCAACTTGGCCAGACCTCATCTCTACAGTAAATCAAAGAATTAGCCAGGCATGGTAGCACATGCCTGTAGTTCCAGCTACTTGGAAGACTGAGGTGGAAGGATCTCCTGAGCCCAGCAGGTCGAGGCTGCAGTGGCCATGAGCATACCTGGGCGACAGTATGAGGCTCTGACTCAAAAAATAGAATAAATAAGTAGCATTTTTCTTTCTTGATGGTGCACAGAATACTAGTATATAGTCTAGTTGATGCTATCTTAGGTTCATAGTTTCATGTGTGGGTCTTCTCTGTAACCTGTTTGATACTACTTACCCTTGTTTGTCCAAAACAGTATTTGTTCATATATACGTAAGTCAGCTGCTCTGGAGACTTCTTGTTTTTGCTAAGCCCTTGTGATCTTACCTTACTTTGAGTTTCCTTACCTTGCTCTGCAAATACAGACACAGTGAAGTTGTATCTAGTGTCTGTAGGTAATAAACTTGATACTTTATTTAAGTAAATATATCCCTTTTAACTTATTAGGAAGAAAATGCTCGGAAAAGAATCCTGTGTCCTTTAGATCCAAAGCAGTAAGTATGGGTCAGATAAGGGTTTTTCTATGCTGGAAACCGTCATTGTCACAAGTCTCATTTTAAATAACTTTCTCTTTAAATGTAGCACAGTATATGAAGATCAACTAGCAAAGCATTTGAAAAAATGTAACTCAAGGGAAAAGCCAAAACCTGTAAGTGTCTAATCAGTAAAACTAAAAGGTGGAATGTGGAGATGTGTGGATGTCATGTTCGTGTGTTGCCCAGTAGATGACAAATATGAAGGTGGACTTTTTTTTCTCAGTTTCCTGAGGATAGATGCACATGTGAATATTTAATAAGACTTATGTCTCAAGGCTTGGATTTGGTAAATGCATGTGAGTGCATATAATATGTCAGTCTGTAAATCCATGTATAGTCTGGTTTTTTTTGGGTTTTTTTGTTTTTTTTTTTTGAGTCAGAGTCTCACTGTGTCGCCCAGGCTGGAGTGCAGTGGCACACTCATGGCCACTACAGCCTCGACCTGCTGGGCTTAGGCAGTCCTTCCACTTCAGCCTTCCAATTAGCTGGAACCAGAGGCATGCACCCCCACACCCAGCTAATCCATGTATAGTCTTAATTCAGAGAATAGAATTATGTTCAACATGAGTGTTATTCAGAGAATAATTTCACTATTTATTGAAAAAGACTTACTTAGAGCCTGCTAAATTTATTTCAATAAAATATGCTCCCAGCCTTCAAGGAGCTTATTTAACACTGGGAAGTAACGTATAAATAAGGGACATTGTTTAATAAGGTCAGTAAAAGAAGTAAGAACACATGTAATGGGAGCACATACTTGCCTCAAAATTAATGTTAAATCCAAGAGGTCAGGAAAGCCTTCCCAGGGAAATAACTCTGAGTCTTGATATGGCAAAGAAAAGGAATGAATCCTTCTGGCAGAAAATAAATATGTGGAAAGCTGGAGCCGAGACACCACATGATGCCTTCAAGAAGCTAAACTTCGCTCTTAAAATCTTCCCTGAAAGGTCTTGAGGATGAGGGGTGGTATAGTCAGATTTACCTCTTCGAGAGCTTTCTTCTACAGCAGGAGGATGAGTTGGGGGCTGCTGAAATCCAGATGGGCAGGGAAGATACTGAGTCAAAAAGGGGCAAAGCCTGTGGATAAATATGTGAGTTATTTGGGTGGCAAAATCAGGGACACTTGGAGTTGGATATGTGAGTCTGAACTCAGGACCTAGGCTGGGCAAGTAATTAAAATCTGGAAGTCAAATACATGAAGGTCATCAGCAAAGCTTTGGATTTTTTACGTTACCAGTGATGAGAGGAAAAAGGAAGTGACCTGTTTATTCAATAGCTATAATTGAGCATGTAAACCAGGTATTTACCAAGCATCCTGCCTAAGCGCATGGCAGGCTTTTGGCATAAGTGGAGATTGAGGGACATGTTGTGAGACCTGGTGAAGTACAGGTGTATGGGATAGTGAGGAGGAGGGCCTGACCCTTTAACAAAGGGGGATGACAGAAACAGGGAGGCAGTTGGGAAGGCTTCCCTGAAGGAAGTGTCATGTAAGAGGAGACCTCAAGGTCACAGGAGCATCACCTGACAGGAAGGAGCACTGTGCCAAGGCGGGAATGTGAAATGCAGGAAACCCGCTGCATAAGACATGGAATCTGAGAGAACCAAGCCTGGAACTCAGCCACAGCAATGAGAGAGGATGCGCTACTGGTAGGAACCACAGGAAATGTTGGAAGAGTGGCTGGAGAGGGAGGAAGGAGAGCTAGGGGGGAGGGGCGGGATAAGAACCTCAAAGAAGAGCAAGCCGCCCTGTCAGCCCGCGGAGGAACCACAGCCAGGAGGGAAATGCCATCAGGCTGGCCTTATGGTTGTTCTTATGGATCAGAGACCTCAGCAAAATACATACTTAATAGGGCAGGCAGAAATCAGACCAGAATGATACAGGAGTGAATGGAAGATAAGGCAGTGGAAGCCAGAAACTTGACTGTGAATAGAACTCGGACATTAGGACAGCAGTCAGAGAGTCCTCTGATGGGGGGCGGGTGCTGTAAAATGGAAGGAAATGTGGGTTTATTTATATACAGTTGGCCCTTGAACAGCACAGGCTTGACCTGCACAGATCCACTTGTATGCAGATTTCTCCAACCAAAGGAAAACTTAAAATACAATATCAGGCTAGGCACGGTGGCTCATGCCTGTAATCCCAACACTTAGGGAGGCAAGGAGAGAGGATTGCTTGAGCCCCGGAGTTCGAGACCAGCTTGAGCAACTTGGTGAGACCTTGTCTCTACAATAAATCAAAAATTAACTGGGCATGGTGGCATGTGCCTGTAGTCCCAGTTACTTGGAAGGATCGCGTGAGCCCAGGAGTTCAAGACCAGCCTGGGCAACTTGGCAAGACCTTGTCTCTACAATAAATCAAAAATTAGCCGGGCATGGTGACGTGTGCCTGTAGCTCCACATACTTAGGAGGCTAAGGTAAGAGGATCATCTGAGCCCAGTAGGTTGAGGCTGCAGTAGCTGTGATTGTGCCACTGTACTCCAACCTGGGCAACAGAGTGAAACGCCAATTTTTTAAAAATGCAATGTTCAGGATGCAAGCCCATGTATTAGGAAGGCTGGGCTGACCTTTTGACTGTGGGACTTGGATATGTACAGATTTTGGTGCTGGAAGCATGTCCTGGAACCCATTCTTTGTATATATGGAGGGACAACTGTTCTAAAGTAAAGAGCCAGCAGAGAAGACGACGCTGGCCCGAGAAGAGGGCATAATCAGTGGCAGCGGCTTCTGGGGTAGCAGGGAGGACACGGAGCAGAGGATGGCTCTTCCACAGGGACAGTGGGAGTGAGCGAAGGATGGATGTACATCCAGGAGAATCAAGAGAAGGCTCTTCTTTGACAGCAATGCTTTCCTTATAGAAGAGACAAGGTGATGGGGGCTGACAGTCCAGTAGGAGACCTGAGGAGAAAAGGAGAAGTTTGAATTAAGATTACAAAGAATAAGGGTATCTGATCTCAAACCAGGTGAAGTGGGGACCAAAGTGAGGCCCAAACTTTACCTGTGCAGTGACCATTTGTACATCTGATTCTGAATTGTACCCCACATGCTTAAAATAAATGTTGTGACTGGGCGCGGTGGCTCGGTCTGTAATCCCAGCACTTTGGGAGGCTGAGGTGAGAGGATTGCCTGAGCCCGGGGGTTCGAGACCAGCCTGGACAACTTGGTGAGACCTCATCTCTACAGTTAACACAAAAACTCGCCAGGCATGGTGGTGTATGTCTGTAGTTCCAGCTACCTGGAAGGCTGAGGTGGAAGGATCACCTAAGCCCAACAGGTCGGGGCTGCGGTGACTGGCAGTGTGCCACTGTGCTCTAGCCTGGGCGACAAGAGTGAAACTCCAACTCAAAAAATAAATAAATATATAAATAAATAAATGTTTGTACCAATGGAAACAAATTATGAAGAATAATTGCTGGGCAGCTTTGCAAGTCAGACTGGAGTGTGGAGGCAACGGATTTGACCTGGCACCAGTCCAAGTGGTGGTTTCCGCCAGCAGCGTTCAGCAGGCCAGATGCTGAAGTTAAGAACCATATCGATGCAGACATTGAGTTTTGCAAGGGTGGTTGTGGCAGAAGAACTAGACTGTAAAAATCACAGTGGTGATAATAGTGGTATCTATACTGGATGGCAGGACAAGAGGCCAGAGAGTAACTGGGCAAAAAATGAATCACAGTCTTCGTTTTTTGTGAAGAATGTAATTAGGAGTGAAAGAATGAAAAGAACATGTTTAGGAGCCAGAGAACCACCAGGCTCATGCTGGCACAGCACCAAGTTACAGTCAGAAGTAGGCGGTGGAATTAGAATTTCAGAGGTCGAGGGATTCGCAGGGATGCCAGAGGATGGAGGGCCTGGGAAGCGCTTTGCTGAAATAAAGTGAAGTCAGCAGAGCTCGAACATAATGGTGGTGTTAGTGAGACTTGGGAAGGACAGCATGGAGTCAGAGTGCCTGATGAGTGTTGGATGGTGACCAGCAGATTGATGGCTGATGACCTGGAGGTCTAGAGAGCAGTTTAGGAGCCTGCTGTTTCTGAGCAGGGCAGTCCTTGCGTGTGCATCCTGAAGCATCCATGCTGGCCGAGTGCACCTGTCAGGAGCTGTGAGGGATCTGGAATTCCGTCTGGTCCATGCCATCAGGTCAGCCTGCCATCGGTTCCTGTCTGCTGGCAGAAGATCTAAAGACTCACAGGTCAGAGACAACAGCCTCTCATTCACACACAGTAAGCAGCGTGCACTTCTTGTTAGCTCAGCTCCCCTTGTTCCCGAGGCCCATGAATCAGCAGATGCTGTGTGTGCAGCAGCTCGTGTCACAGCTGGGAAAGCCCAAGCTCAGGACGTAGAAATGTTGCTGACTAGGGGATAAGCAAGCCCGCCTGACCTTTGTTCTATGAGTAAACATTCAATTATACTATACAGGTGGGGCATGGTAGCTCATGCCTGTCATCCCAGCCCTTGGGAGGCAGAGGCGAGAGGTTGCCCAAGCCCACAGGTTTGAGACCAGGCTGAGCAACATGGTGAGACCTTGTCTCTACAATAAATTAAAAAAAAAAAAAAGCTGGGTGTGGTGGCATGCATCTATGGTTTCAGCTACTTGAAAGGCTGAAATGGAAGAAGCGCCTGAACCCAGCAGATTGAGGCTGCAGTGGCTGTGAGCATGCTACTGCACTCCAGCCTGGGCGACAGAGTGAGACTCCGACTCAAAAAAACAAACAAAAAGAACCTCTGACCCACAGCACCAGCTGCCTGAGGCACTCTTCACAACCATTTTGAACCAAGAACACTTGAGTTCTGATAGTTACAGTTGGTTTCCTGCAGTCACTTTGTTAGTCATCTAACAACAGCACATGACCCTGTAATCTGTACCCGCCCACTCAGTTGGCAGTTTCCATGACTGTCCACAGCGGGGCAGCCGGCCACACACACCCAGGTTCACCTTTCTGACACGCATGTCACAAGAGTCACTGCTGTGCACAGCACATGTTCCCAGGGGCTGCCTTCACTTTTCAAGCAGGGCTGTGAACATAGCAGGATGTCATTCATGCTAGTGTACACTCTTCAGCATGGCAGCCACTCCCACATGTGATTATTAGTCTGAGCTAATTAAAGCTCAGTACAGTAAAACTCTAGTTCTGTAGTCACACTGGCCATGTGGCCAGGGCAGACACAAGATATTTCCATCACTGCAGAAAGTTTCCTTGCACAGAACTGAAATAGGTCCTTGCCTAGAATCTGTGTCTCTGAAGAAGGACTAGAAAGATTCATTATATCAATTTTAGTAACGCAGCACCACTGGGCATTTATATTTTCAATTCTTAATTTGTATTTTAAAATAGAAGAAATGAGACTTTGACTATTGTGTGTACCTTTTACCTGGTTTTGATCATGCTGCATGTCTGATGAATAGCATCATGGAGCTGGTACTTGGTTGTTTTTGCCTTAACGTCATAAAGCCAAATCAACACAGTCTTCAGTCTATGCTGTAAATAGGTCAAAACTCAATAAAAATTACGAATGAATTTCTGTGTACTAAAAATGCTTATTCAAGTAGCCACCTCACTAGAGCATGAGCTCCGTGAACATAGATGTTTGTCTCTTGTGTTGTCTGCGTGGTGAGTGCCCAGCTCCCCAAGGATGAGAGCAGGCCCTCTGGTGAACTACTGAATGAGCAGGAGGAGGGAGGTGATAGGCACAGAGTGTGGGGTTGAGGGAAGAGTCAGTTTCACCTTAATTTTTGTGAGCTTTACATTATTAACGGTATTATCATCGTTTTGTTTTTGTTAAGGACTTCTTTATTCAAGATATTAATGCAGGCTTAAAAGACGAAACAGAATTACCTGAAATATTAGTAAGTACATTAACTTAATGTTTCATTGTTCAAGGTATTTATAAGCTACCTCGGTTGTGAATAAACTATGTTCCACTTTTTGTTTCGGATAGATCTGTTGTCTTTACCTCAGAAGGCATTTCCTGTAGATTCCAAGTTGTCAGTGATGGTCCATTCCCCTACCAGCTTATACCCCACAGCAGAACAAAATACAGTATGGCCCTGAGGCCCCTTGATTTTTTAATGCTTTGAGCCTAGACTTGTTCTTGACTTGAGGAGGCTGGAGGCGGTGAAGCAGTATGGCAGAGACTGAGGAAAAGCCTAGCACTTATATACTTCCCATGGTGACTGCAGGAGAAGCTTTAGAACAAGGCGGAGCCTTGGCTGCCATGGGGACTGCCCAGCTATGATGCTTCTACTCAGGCTGGTCATACTACTTGAAGGCAATTTTTGGCTACATTATTTAGCTTTATTTTTGTTTATAGGTTCCACTTTCTTCTCTATCTGAAGAGCAGTTGGAAAACTTAATTAAGAAATTGAGAAAAGCAAGTGAAGGTAAGTCTGCCTAAAGTTGCAAGTTATGTTCAAGCAGCTGGGTGGGCTATGAGTTGATGTACTTTTGGTGTACCCTTTGTGAGAGTCCTGCAATTCCATGTTTGTTTGCTTAAGCTGTTGTGCTTGTATTTGGCACAGGGTTGAACTCCACACTTCCAGATCGCATTATGTCTCACCCAGCGTTACATGATGCCCTCAATGACCCTAAAAACGGGGATTCTGCCACCAAGCACCTGAAGCAGCAGGTATGTCTAGGCTCTAGGAATACTACTAGAAATGCCTTTTCCATTCATTGAAGGCTTCCTAAATGTGTGAGATTTTGTTTGCCTTGCAAAGTACAAAATATTTCCATTTGAAAAAATATGTATTAAAAAATTGGGGGCATGGATATGGTTCTGAGTACTTAGTATTAAATACTTAAAAACAAAAGAAAAAATTTAAAGCTGAATAGAAGTTATCAATGTGAACATATTGCCTTCTGTAGAAATTCCTTTACTGTTTTCTCATTTGAGCCAAATGTGTTTGCTCTAGTTTATAAAATAATCATGTGAAGTTTGCAGGCTTCTATTTTAGGTAACATTGAAAAATTAAAGTTACTTGGTCCAAGAAGATGCTTTGTTGAGTTTGGAGCGGGAAAGGGAAAATTATCTCATTGGGTTGATATTGCCTTAAAAGATGCTGAAAATGTTCACTTCATCCTAGTGGAGAAGGGGACCACAAGATTCAAGGTAAGAGAAACCAATGCTATATAGCAGTAGCCAAGTTTTATTTCCATTTTCTGTATTTAGAATGAAAAAATGAAAGAAACATGTTTCTTAAAAAATTTGAAAGAAAATTTTAGAATTTTCAGATCAGCATGATGGCTTACACCTGTAATCCCAGCAGGAGGATCTCTTGAAGCCAGGAGTTTGAGACCAGGCTGGGCAACAAAGTGCAAGACCGTCATCTCTACAAAAAAATTTAAAAATTAGCTGGGCATGGTGGCATACACCTGTAGGTCCAGCTACTCAGGAGGCTGTGGCTTGAACCCAGTAGCTCAAGGCCGCAGTGAGCTAGAATCACGCCACTGCATTCCAGTTTGTATGACAGAGAAAGACGCTCTCTTAAAAAAAAAAAGAAAAGAAAATGAATATTTTTGTTCTTTGATTATAGGTTTTTATCAGTTCTAATTTTTTTGTTTTTACTTTTGAGTCAGGGTCTCTGTCATCTACTCTGGAGTGCAGTAGCACGTGCAGTGCATGAACACAGCTCACCACGGCTTTGACCTTATGGGCTCAGGCTATCCTTTCACCTCAGCCTCCCAGGTAGCTGGGACTCCAAGTGTGCAGCACCATGCCTAGCTAGTTTTTTTATTTTACTTTTTAAGAGATGAAGTCTTGCTATGTTGTCCAGGCTTTTCTCAAAATTCCTGGGCTCAAGTGATCCTCCAGTCTCTACCTCCCAAAGTGCTGGGATTACAGACATGGGCCACACTGTGCCTGGCCAGTTCTAATTATATTGATGACTTAAGCTAAAGGTGAACTCTTTAAATCCAAGTTTTGATAGTCCATTGATCTGAGTCCTTAAAAGTATTGGCCAAGAGAGGAAATGTATGGAAAGAGCCAAGCTCTAACTAGGAATCAAGTCTGGGTCCTGCTCCTCCTCAGCCATTTGACCGCTGTTGCTTTAGTAACCAATTACCGAGCAGACTGTTAGGCACCTAGGTAGACTTGCATGATACAAAGTCAGGTAAGATCGAGTACCTATGCCTGATACGTATGTTCAGAAAGGAGAGACAAGCAAATAAAGAAGCGATTGTCGTAAGGTGTTAGCATAGAAAGGTCTGCACAGAGGACAGTGTGGGCTTAAGGGAAGGAGTGACAGGTTTTCCTACAGCAGGGACAGGACGGGGTGACCACACAGAAAAGGTGCTGCTTAAGCTACCTCTTGAGAGAGGAATCCCTGCTGGTAGACGGAGGACTGGAGAGCATTCTGGAAAGCGAGAATAGTTTAAACAAATGCTGAGCTAATAGGCAAACCCAAAGCATCTTTGTGCGATGGGGCTGTGAGGTTGAGGTCAGCAGGGACAAGTCGGAGGGGTGGCCCACAGTGGAGGCTCGAGTCTAGTGCTGAAGAGGAAGCTGGCTTGTTGTTTTGGGTAGGGATGCAGTGGAAACAAGAGGCAGGTCTTGCTTGGAGCATCCATCCAGTGGATAGACATGCAGATACTGAGGTTCAGTAAGCCAGGTGTGTTAGGATCATGGTGAGTCCACAAAACCGCAGAGCATGGAAGCAGAGCACCCGATGCTTGAGTAGGGAGTTATTAATAAGATCATTTTATCCAATAATCCAAGTAAGAAATGAGCCAGAGAGAAGAGAGCAAAGGCTGTTGCCCTGTGATGGGGGAGGGAGAAATACTAGGGTGCTGGAAGCCCCAGGACGTGGTGTTGGATCTTTCACCAAGTATGAGAGAGGAGGGGCCAGGGCAGGGCCTTCAGGCCTGATTGACTAAGTGAGCTCTTCCCTGAGATAGGAAAGAGTGAGGGGGAGGGGAGGTTCAGAGGGAGAAATAGTTCACCTCTGGCTGTGCCTTGTGCTGTTGCAGGCGAGCTTTTTTTTATTTTTTTTTTGAGTTGGAGTCTCACTCTGTCGCCCAGGCTGGAGTGCAGTGGCACGCTCATGGACACCGCAGCCTCGATCCGCTGGGCTCAGGTGATCCTTCCAATTCAGCCTTCCAACTAGCTGGAAACACAGGTGCAGGCCACCATGCCTGGATAATTTTTTTATTTATTATAGGGACAAGATCTCCCCATGTTGCCCAGGCTGGTCTTGAACTCTTGGGCTCAGGCAGTCCTTTCGCCTCTGCCTCTCAAAGTGCTGGGATGACGGGCATGAGCCACTACACCCAACCCCGCAGGCAAGCTTTCTAGTCTATGATGGGGCACACGGGACAAGTGTAGATCAGGAGGTGGTCAGCACAGGGATGGCGAGTAGAATGACCTTGACCTTCCAAGGAGAGGGAGAGGAGCAGGCCATAGGTCACATTTGAGGGGACGGAGATGAGGGCTGGCAAACACCTGTAGATAAGCTGCTCCACATCTGTAAATGCCACTCCCTTGGGGTAGACCGGGAGCTTCTAGGGTTAAAGGGAGTCGTGTATATGTAATAATCAAGACAGATTTCAAAGCTTTCAGAAACTTGTGGTATTATTTTGAAGTTTTCATCAAAGAATATGCAATCTTCATTTCTATTTTTTAACTCTGAAAATAAGATGGAAACTTAATTGCTCTGAGTTTAACTTAAAATTCATTGTTACAATAATGTTCTGTTTGTGCAGGTAGATGGTAAACACAGAAAGAAAAATTCAGTGTTTGAGAGACTTCAAATTGATATTCAACACTTGTGTTTGAGTAAGTTACATAACTTTCTATTACTCTACAAATAAATCAGAAAAGTTTGAACTCAGAGTTGCTAGGTTGCTTAGAAATCCAATCATGCAGAACAGTGCTTCAGGGAAAACAGTAAAAGAAATCCATTGTAAATATGCAGTGTTTATGTAACATTTGGATAGGTGTAAGTTGAGTTAGGGGTGACATTTTTAAAAGTTGTTTTTCAGTATCTACTGGAAATGAAGAGCTACATTAGGGAAGAGTTTAAAAGTTTTGATAATATGTATTATGTTGCTTCTTTGTCCTGTTTCAATTAATTTTTAGTCTTGTTCGTACCATAAACCAGCTTTCTGCCTGTAGTTAACCTACACCATTAAAGAAAATGAGATAGTTCTCTGTCTAGCTAGTAGGTAAAAGACACTTCCTAGAATTTTAAATTGTACCCAAAAAAGTGTGAAGTCACAATCACACACACACACATATTCACACACACACTCACACTCCTTGTTCCCTTTCGTGCCCTTTTATGCTTGCTTTTTTTTTTTGGAGTTGGAGTCTTACCCTGTCATCCAGACTGGAGCGCAGTGGCTGCTCCCGTCCACCGCAGCCTCGACCTGCTGGGCTCTGGCGATCCTTCCGCCTCAGCCTTCCAAGTACCTGGAACTACAGGCGCGTGCTATCACACCCAGCTAATTTTTTGATTTTTTGTAGAGATGAGGTCTCACCAAGTTGCCCAGGCGGGTCGCAAACCCGTGGGCTCAGGCAATGCACTCACCTCAGCCTCCCAAGGCGCGGGATTACAGGCTGAGCCACCGAGCCTGGCCCTTTTATGCTTTCTTAACAGTTTTTCAAATTATTTCAAAAGGAAACAATGCAAACACCTCAGCAACCTCTTCGCTTCTCCAGTTTTAATCCAACATTGAGAAGCAACCCAGCATTTGTATTTAAATCACTGTATCTAAGACTGTTTAACTGAATGTGTTACTTTTCTGTTATTATGAACCCTAATAAACAAGTTCTTATGTTCTGTGTTGACTTCTATAATAAAGTGACAGGTTTTGGCTTGAGTTGGCTTCAGCCCTATATCCAGAGATTCTCCTGGGCTGTCCTCTGGGAGGCCACGGGGGCACAGTGTCACACGCACTTTATCTGTCATCTCACTGCCTTTTATTTCAGACAAGATCTCTGTGCTAAGAGAAGGGACGCTACCTGTGGTGGGAATTGGAAAGCACTTGTGTGGCGTGGCAACAGGTGTGTAAACACATGAACAATGTCTAAACGGACGCATTAATGTTTGGCTTAACTTGGACATTTCAGTGGCTTTCTTTGAATGGTATAGATGTCTTAGGTTTACAAGTCATTAATTTTTATAGAACCCTGGCCCTGAGCTGTGTCAGATACAGAGCTTTCCTGTGTTTCTGTTCATTTTGGCCATTAAGAGTTTTTATTTTGTTTTTTTGGTTTTTTTTGAGTTGGAGTCTCACTCTGTCGCCCAGACTGGAGTGTAGTGGCCGCTTCCGGCCACCGCAGCCTCGACCTGCTGGGCTCCGGCGATCCTTCCGCCTCAGCCTTCCAAGTAGCCGGAATTACAGGTATGCGCTACCACGCCTGGCTGATTTTTTTGATTTATTGTAGAGATGAGGTCTCACTGCCCAGGCGGGTCTCAAACCCGCGGGCTCAGGCAATCCACTCACCTCAGCCTCCCAAAGGCACGGGATTATAGGCTGAGCCACCGAGCCCGGCCATTAAGAGTTTTTGTGTCAATACTGTCATGTTGGGTTTCTGTTTTTGTTTTTTGACAGACTGAAAATGTGGCTTCTTTTCAATATTGTCAACAGTTTAGCAGTTTTCAACAGTTTAGAAGTAGCCACAGTCATCAAAAATGCATGCATTTGGTTTTAAAGTATATGCACATGTTTTCCTTGTAATATGGGGCGTATGCCCACTGCTAGCCGATGTGTACTGGTCATCACTGCGTCCTCAGTGCTTTGCATGTGACAGCCCCAGTCAGTGCCAGATGAGTGGGCAAACACAACAAGGCTGCCCAGCAAGTCCTGCTCTCCCGAGTCTCAGCTCCTCAATGCAGCACTATCTGCTGTGAATACATGCATTTCAAGAACAGCATTGTGTCTTGATCTGGCATCACCCTAGGCAGAACTGCCTTTCCTTCCTTCTTTCTTTGTGTTTCTTAAGGTGAAATGTAATGTAATTTTTTTTCTAAACAAGTCATTTCTTCCACTGGGGCAGGAACAGTGAGAGTCCAAGTCATTGGACCAGCGTTGTTCACACTGTCAATCTTAGACCTCAGACAGCTTTGTTGGGAAGCAGGCTTACTGCAGAGTAATCACTAAAGAAACAGAGACACTAGTAAGAAAGAGCAAATTTGGAAAAGGCGGCAATTCATGATAGAGTTTTTGCAAGTACACAGCAAGTAGATTTTGGTGTCTTCTTGGGTTTTTAATCCCGAGCTCTTCATAAACTAGAGTGTGCATGCTGAGATGACGGCTGAGCCTTGTGTCTGTGCTTGCAGATCTTGCCCTGCGGTGCTTGCTGGAAACCTGTGCTGTCCACCATGAGGAGCGGCACGGAGAACCCATGGCCAAACGCGTAAAGAACAGCGAAACAGAAAGAGAGAGCCACACCGTGGCCAGGGAAGGATGTGACAACAGCGCCCCCGAGATGCAGAGCCCTGTGGCCGGCATTGTTCTCGCACTGTGCTGTCACCACCGCTGTGACTGGAGGCATTACGTGGGCCAGGAGCACTTCCGGGCGCTGGGCCTGGGCGCCACAGAGTTCCACTACTTCCAGCGCATGAGCAGCTGGGCAACTTGTGGGATGCGCAAGACCGTGGGGTCCTCAAACACCACCCCCAGGAGGCAGGAGCAGGAGCAGGAACGGGAGGACGAGGGTGAGGAGCACGAGATCGGAGGATGCAGGGCCACAGATGACAGCGACGGCCTGCTTGGGTGAGGGCACTCTGTGTGCAACACGGAAGAGGGATAACTTCTCATCACTTTTCTCTGTAGATGACGGTCATTCACAATTTTTCTGTGAAAATGTGTTGTCCAGTCTAATTTTAGAATAAGTTAAAATATGTATTTTCTATTGTGGTCATAAATACGTAAGTAAAAGATCTTTGAAGTATGAGACATAGCACTTAGCATATGGGTTATCTAGCAGTCTCTCAATAAACAAAAGGGACTAAAATCATTTCTTATAAGCATTTTTACAAAATGTTAACAGTGTTTTGTGTTTGTTTATTCAATTTAGGCTTCTTAGTGTTGAAGAAAAGAAGAAAATAGGGCATCTTTGTAAATTGCTGATTGACCACGGTCGCACCCAGTATTTGCAGCAGAAGGGCTTCAGTCCAGCTTTGCAGTATTATACGGACCCACTGGTGTCTCTGGAAAATGTGTTGCTAACTGCTCTACCAAACCCCTTCTCACCACCAGAAACCATTGTGTAATGGAAAAGAGGCTGGAACGGCATCTGTCTTCCACCCAAAAAAGTTTTTTAAGTTATATTTTTATATTCATGAAAATATACTTTAAATAAGATAATATGAACTTTAAAAAACACAGTGGCTTCATTGAACTTTCGTAATAGCATTGTTTTTTTGCTTCAGAAGTCCAAACGTTAGAGAACTCACGAAAGTCCCAGAGTAACCCTCTTCAGCATCTTGGATTATATTATCCATCCGCGTCTGCAGAGACTGGCAAAGTGGTAGAACAACTGACTTGGTTATCTGAAACACAAACAGCATGTGAACCTGTAACTAGCATGTTAGCTTTCTAATTGTGTTGATTTTGGAAATTTATTTTTATTTATTTTTTTTTGAGTTGGAGTCTCACTCTGTCGCCCAGACTGGAGTGCAGTGGCCGCTCCCAGCCACCGTAGCCTCGACCTGCTGGGTTCCGGCGATCCTTCTGCCTCAGCCTTCCAAGTAGCCTGAATTACAGGCGCAAGCTACCACGCCCGGCTGATTTTTTGATTTATTGTAGAGATGAGGTCTCGCCTGCCCAGATGGGTCTTGAACCTGCGGGCTCAGGCAATCCACTCACCTCAGCCTCCCAAAGGTGCGGATTACAGGCTGAGCCACCGAGCCCAGCTGGAAATTTATTTTTCTTTGATTTTATTTGACATTTTGTATTTCTCAAGTTCAAGATGCAATGATTGACTGCCAGTTTGTAACAAAGGCTGATCTGAGAATTTGACTTATGTGTGGACTTTCTTTCCCATGTAGATCTAGAAAGGACAGTTGTGATTTTCTCAAATGCAAACAAATTCAGAGATGTTCAAAATTAGTTTATGAAATGACCTTCAGATTTCCAGACCCATACCTGTATTTATATATTATCAGAATTTGTCCATGACAAACACCAAAACTGAAGAGCTGTTTTCAAAGAAAGCACTTCATTTTTTGTCGGATAACTTAGAAATTAGAGCTTTCAAAAAGATACTTATAAACATAACGCAAAATTAAATTTGGAATTTGCAAATAACTTCTGAAGTTAATTAGATATCTCATATCTTTTATCAGATTATTTTTCACACACATAAATACAACATTAAGCATATTCCCTTCAGCTTGGGAAAATAATTTGGAATAAAGTAGAAATTAGAAAGGAAACCAAAAATCTCAAATTTGGGCCTTATTTAACTCAGTAGTTTTTATGCAAAAGCAAATATTAAAGCAAACTTGTGGTAGGATTGTAGGACTGTTACCCTCATCCGCATCTTATCCTCATTTTGTTTCTGCCTTTATTTGTAAAAATTGTCTTGTTAGTACATTTGCAAGACAGGACCCAGGATTACACAATTTAAACATTATAATGACATTTAGAGATAATTGCTTTCATCCTGTAGGTCTGTGATTACATGAAAGGTGGCTGAGCAGAGCCCACTTGCAAAATCCTGACTTTAGTTTAACAAAATATGTCCTGTCAGACTGCTCAGGTTAAAATCCTACCTCTGTTGTGACCTTGGGAAGGTGCTTAATCTCCTTGTGCCTCGATTTCCTCCTCTTAGAATGGAGATGATGATAATGACAATAAGACCGACCTTACAAGGCTGTTATGAGCTTCAAACGAAATATCACAAGTAAAATGCTTAAAACTATTCTAAGCACAGAGTTAGTGCTCAATGAATATTAACTAGTAGCAGTGGTGGTAGTAATTCATGAATCTGTTTTTTGTTGTTGTTGTTGTTTGTCTGTGTTTCTTTTTTGAGTCAGAGTCTCACTCTGTTGCCCAGGCTGGAGTGCAATGGCACGCTCATGACCACCCCAGCGTTAATCTGCTGGGCTCAGGTGATCCTTCTGCCTCAGCCTCCCAAGAAGCCAGAACTACAGGCATGTGCTACCATGCCTGGCTAATTTTTTGATATATTGTAGAGATGAGGTCTCACCAAGTTGCCCAGGCTGGTCTTGAACCCCTGGGCTCAGGCAGTCCTCTCATCTTGGCCTCCCAAAGTGCTGGGATTACAGGCTTGAGCCACCACACCCAGTCCTGAATCTGTTTTTAATAACATAATAGGCAGGCTTTGATTTTATTATCTCTTTATGTTGTTACCTTTTTTCTCTTGTTATAAGTTTTATGTCAAATATGATTAAAAGTAGTTTGATTATTTTAAGTTAATTATTCATGCTCCCCAATCAGGAGAACATAAATGAAGATAAAATATCATTCAACAATTAACCTTGTTTTGTTGTGTCAGCCAGTGCTAACTTGTGTCATAAAACTTGTTTTGCGTCATTCAACAATTGATGGCCAGAAATGAAAAATATTCTCCATCAGCCATGATCTCAGTTATATTTCATAAAACTTACATACACACCCAGGAATTCTCATATTGACACATTCCTGTGGCTCATTTATCTGGATGATACATTCCTGACTGGGACTGTGTACCTCAAGGGAGAATAAGCTTGTCCCTCAACACGCCAGCCTTAGATCAATATTATTGTTTTCATTTCTCTTCATATATGAGAAAGTGGCTATGGGATATATATTGACCTGCGTTATTTGCAGGTTCAGCAAACCCCTTGAGCTTTGGTGCTTGTATGTCCTATGGGTGCATCAAATTTACTGTTAATACCGGAAATCGACTGGGTGTGGTGACTCATGCCTGTAATCCCAGCACTTTGGGATAAATAAATTGGGAGGATTGCTTGAACCCAGGAGGAAGTCAAGGCTGTGGTGAACTGTGAATGTGCCACTGCACTCCAGCCTAGGTGTCAGAGTAAGGCCTGAAAAGCAAGCAAGCAAGCAAGCAAAAATAAACACAGAAATCAGTTTCTGCCAGCCAACTCTGTGTCTGTACTTCCTTCTCCATCTGGTACCACTTTTGTCCAGTTCTAACAAAAACCTGCGATCACTCTGAACTCCCTTTCTCGTCTCCATTCAGTTGTTAATTGTGTCTCCTGCTTGGCTTCTGTGGATGTATTCTCTACTTTCCAAAAGCAGGCCCATGTCTTACGCTACCATGACTTTTTCTCTGCCTTCCCCCAGCCTGCCCTCCATGCTGTTGTGTCTTGCCTTGCTGCAGCAGTTCTAACCAACATTTCCTAGACATCCTGCACTGAATGTTAGCAAAAGTCACTTCCTCTAGATGAAAGCCCTCATTTCAAAGAAACTCTTTGTTGCATTGAGTTGCACTATAATCTACCGTTACAGTCAAAAACTTCACATTATAATGCATTTAAAACCCATTATTTCTAATACTATACTATGGCTTCATTGTTTTTATTAGAGAATTGTGCTCTTTGTTCTCTTTCCCCAATCTTGGTTTAATTGAAAGGCTTTCTCTGGCTGGGCATGGTGGCTCAGCCCGTAATCCCAGCATTTTGGGATGCTGAGGCGAGAGGACTGCCTGAGCCTGGGGGTTCGAAACCAGCCGTGGCAACCTAGCAAGACCTCATCTCTACAATAAATCACAAAAAAACCTAGCCAGGTGTGACATGCATCTCTTTTTCCAGGTACTTGGAAGGCTGAGGCAGAAGGACCATCTAAGCCCAACAGGTCAAGGCTGAGGTGGCCATGAGTGTGCCACTGCACTCCAGACTGGGTAACAAGAGTGAGACTCCAACTTTAAAAAGAAAAAAAGCCTTTCTCAAAAAAAAAAAGTAATGCAATGCAAAATTGCCAGGACTAAAGATTGAAATCTGTATGTCAAAACCTCACATTCTGGCTAAGTGCATGGCTCACGCCTGTAATCCCAGCACTTTGGTAGGCCAAGGTGAGAGGACTACTTGAGCCCAGGAGTTCAAAACCAACCAGAACAACACAGTAGGATGCTATCTCTATAGAAAAAGTATTAATAAATTTTTAAAAACTCACATTTCTTTTTTTTTTTTGAGTCAGAGTCTCACTCTGTTGCCCAGGCTGGCGTGCAGTGGTACACTCACAGCCACCGCAGCCTTGACCTGCTAGACTTAGGCAATCCTTCTGCCTCAGCCTTCCAAGTAGCTGGAACTACAGGCACATGCTACCATGCCCAGCTAATTTTTCTTGGTTTATTGTAGAGACAAGGTCTCACCAAGTTGCCCAGGCTGGTCTCAAACCCCTGGACTCAGGCAGTCCTCTTACCTCCACCTCCCAAAGCACTGGTATTACAGGCATGAGCCACTTCACCCAGCAAAAAACCTCACATTTCAACTCTTGGTTAAAATCTGTATTCTCAGCTAGGCATGGTAGCACTCACCTGTAATCCCAGCTACTCGAGAGGCTGAGGCTGTATTGCACTATGATGGTGCCTGGGAATATCAGCCTGGGCAGCATAGCAAGACCCCATCTCTTAAAAAGTCTATATTAATATTTTTCATTTCTAGGCAAAATGTTTTTTGCCATCTGAGAACTGTAGAAAAAGGAGGAAATGGTAGGAAGATCAAACGTGCTCAAACTGATGTGTATGGCAAATGCAGAATGAGGCAGTGACGCTTTAAGAACCATGTGTCCATTCACTTGCTGAGCTTAGTCAATCTATTTCCTGACTCTACATTAAAGACTTTGATTATCTTTATAACCTATTTCACTGTTTTTTCTTTCCACAATATTGACCAAGAAACCAGAATTTGACAGAAAAGGCAAGATGGAATAAGAAACCCATCAAGGAATTAATGAAAAGACAGAAGTTAGTTATATACACGTTTCTTCTAACCAAACAAAAATTTAATCTGGCCGGATACAGTGGTTTATGCCTGTAATCTCAGCAATTTGGGGAGCTGAAGTGGGAGGTTCACTTGAGCCCAGGATTTCAAGACCAACTTGGGCAACATAGTGAGACCTCATCTCTACAAAAAACAAAAAAAATTACCCAGTTGTGTTAGCATGCACCTGCAGTCCCAGCTACTCAGGAAGCTGAGGCAGAAGAATTTCCTGAGCCCAGGAAGTTGAGGCTGCAGTGAGGTGTGATCCTGCCACTGTACTCCAGCCTGGGCACCAGAGAGCTCCTGACTCAAAAAAATATATACATATATAATCTACATGATATAGACAAATCACATACCTGCTCTCTCCTGAGACTCCTGTATGTATGTGTGCATGAACTGGAGGCCAAACAACTCCCGGTCCTCTTCATCATCTGCACTCTGACTGGGAGGAAGTGTCACTTCCAGCTTCAACGGGTTGTCCCTGAAGTTGACAAACCTAGCAGTTCAACAAAAACAGCAATTTTATTGGTGCCACAGAAGAGTACATTCATTTCCCTGGAGAAAGATCAAATGATAATACACTGCATGACTCTTAACTGGTGTCAATAACTGAGTATCTTGGTGAGATGTGATATATCCCAAGAATCTTTAAGTTTCTTTCCTAGAAGAACAAAATATTTATTTTAGACAACTTACTTACAAAACTTTTTTTTTTCCAGTTGGAATCTCACTCCGTCGCCCAGGCTGGAGTGCAGTGGCACACTCACACACACTCAACCTGCTGGGCTCAGGCGATCCTTCTACCTCAACCTTCCAAGTAGCTGGAACTATAGGCGCACGCAACCATGCCCAGAGAAGTTTTCGATTTATTGTAGAGAGGAGGTCTCACCAAGTTGCCCAGGCTGGTCTCGAACCCTCGGGCTCAGGCAATTCTCTCACCTTGGCCCCCAAAGTGCTGGGATTACAGGCTTGAGACACCGCACTCAGCCTACAAAGCCTCTAAAATCAACTCTTAGTTCATGGCATGTACAAGGGGGAACCCAAAAAACCCAAAACAGTCATTGAGTCAGGTGCTGTGGCTCATGCCTGTAATCCCAGCACTTTGGGAGGCCAAGGCAAGAGGACTGCCTGAGCTCAGGGATTTGAGACCAACCTGAGCGACATGGCAAGACCTCGTCTCTACAGTAGATTAAAAAAATTAGCTGAGCATGGTGGCACGTGCTTGTGGTCCCCGTAACTTGGAAAGCTGAGGCAGAAGGATTGCCAGAGCCTAGCAGGTCAAGGCTGTGGTGGCTGTGAGCGTGCCACTGCACTCCAGCCTGGGTGACAAAGTAAGACCCTGACTCAAAAAAACAAAAACAAACCAATTCTTAAACTCATCAATTTTGACACCCTTTAGTGCTTCTGCTGTTTTTTGTTTCACCTCCTCCACATTGTAGGCAAAATGTTTCCCTCTGAGAACTTTTTTCACGGGGAAACAAAAAAAGTCACTCAAGATGAGATTGGGTGAATAGGGAGAGTGGGACACGGGGGGGGGGGTCATGCTATTTTTGGTCAAAATATCACTGCCGCACATTGTGTAAATCACCATCATGAAATGGCAAACACATTGAAAGAATCTCCAAAAAAAATGCACTGAAGCTACCCACAACCTATCCCAACAACGCCAGCTGGTGCATAGATGCTAGTGGCTTCCTTAGAATACTTACCTGTGAGGAAGCCTGCCCTCCAAAAGATAATTCTGGCTTTATGGAATCCCCTCTCGTATTTAATACTGCACAATTTAACTTCTAAGAGTAAATGCATCTTAAACGAACAATTAAAGCTATGAGCTGAGTTTCTGCATATTTTATGGACCCATGTCTTATCATTGTGCCTTCACATCTAATATAAGGTGGGAGGTTGCTGAGTAAGTGATTCTGTTGTGGAAGTGTGGGGTTTGGTGAATAGTCTCTTGTTTTATTCTCAATGATAGGAAGGTAGATGTTGGAGGGAAAATGAGGGAGTTTTGATGGTAATGAGTGAAAAAGTTTTATCTACTCTCACTTGTGAGACAAACTCCTGTCCGTGTGGAGTTATTTAGGAGGAAATTAATCAGTTTTTATGCTTTTGATTTTACATTGTGAACAAGGTTTAGCAGCTGTACAATCTTCATGCAGATGTCACCAACAGAGGAATTTCTTAAGGCTGATTAACCCCAATACTGCTTAGTTTTAAGGACTCTTTTTTGAATAGTTTAGACCAGTATTATATGAATCCTATTCTTCAAATTATAGGATTTCAACATTGGAAAATGTTTTTCAATGTATCCGAGTGAAGTCAAACAGACTAACTCACCTAAAGAACAGTCATTTTAACACTGCTTCGGCTGTGTCATGCTCTGCTAGCTGTCTGCCCCAGTCCCCACTTCCTAACTGTTAGCCAAGGACAGCACCAGCTTTTTGGAGGCAGCTTTTGACAATTGTCTTGCAGCTCCCAAGTATGTCTTCTACTGATGACTCCTCTATTCCAGGCACTTGCTTTCCAGCTCTACAGGACCAAGCTGACCTAATTGTATTCAGCCTTTTTTGACTGCCCAACAGTCCACCAGAGGCTGTGAAGGCCCTGTAGTCACAGGATTGTTTGCCCTGACAACACCAGGGGCACAAGACCAGTGTTATCAATACTTAGGAATGCAACTGCTGGAGGCTTTTTTTCCTTGTTTCCTTGTTAAAACTTTAAAAGCTCTCCTTCCTCAATCTCAGGGACCGTACTGCCTCTAAGTGTCAGTTCCATTCTCTTCTGAGAGGAATAAACTCCTTTGCTTTACCTTTGCAAATCTTTACTTTATTCCCGCAGCACCAGCCCATGCTGCCTCGGTTCACCCTAACAGTATTTATTCAAATAAAACCCAAATTCAGGCCAGGCACGGCAGCTCATGCCTATAATACCAGCACTTTGGGAGGCCAGTACGAGAGGATTGCCTAGGCCCACAAGTTCAAGACCAGCCCGGGCAACTTGGTAAAACCTCATCTTTACATTAAATCAAAAAATTAGCCAGGCGTGATGGCACGCGCCTGCAGTTCCAGCTACTTAGAAGACTGAGGTGGAAGGATCTCCTGAGTCCAACACGTCAAGGCTGCGGTGACTGTGAGCGTGCCATTGCACTCCAGCCTGGGCAACAGAATGAGACTGACTCAAAAAATAAAATAAAACCCAAGTTCATTGATGACGACCTATCCACATGGCTCTGCTCTGCCGCCAGAGAGAAAGACCCTGCCTCATGTCTGCCCTGTGCACCTCAGGCTTGCCATCCCTGCCATGCACGCTGGAATCTCCTGCAGTCTGTTGTTGCTGAGGACAAGAGTGCCCAGATTCCTCATGTTGCAGATTGTTTCTGGCAGGCATGCTATTTCATTCCGTTGCAGCCATAACGTATGCAGACTTTGCATTCTGAAAAGTTAAAAGAGGTTTCCGCAATTAATCACATAGTATGAAAACCCTGTTATTTTGTCCAGAAAAATGCCATCTTTTACAACATCCTTAATCAGCATCTTGCTGAGTTAACTGACCTCATGTTACATGATTATTAAGGAAACTGTCAGCACAACCCTGATACCTTGTCGTGGGAGAAATGAAATCAAGATATTCTAGAATTCTCTACAATTCTCATAGGATCAACTAAGAAGAACTGCTGTAAATGTTATCTAACCTGAGTTAGAGTTTTGTTTTTTTTTTTTGAGCTGAGGTCTCTGTCACCCAGGCTGGAGTGCAGTGGCACAGTCACGGCTCACTGTAGCCTCAACCTCCTGACTCAGGTGACCCTTCTGCCTCAGCCTCCCAAGTAGCTGGGACTACAGGTGCACACCACCACAACTGACTAAGTTATTTTTTGGTTTTTTTTTTTTTAAATTTCATTCTTAGGCTGGGTGCAATGGCTCAAGCCTATAATCCCAGTACTTTGGGAGGCCGAGGTGAGAGGGTTTTCTGAGCCCAGGGGTTCTACATGGTCAACAGTGTGACTTGGCCAGGCTGCCTATGCAGAATCCTGGCTCACCTTCTCACACCACTGCAGCCCTAGGCAAGTCTGCTACCACCCCTTGGTGTCAGTTTCTCCACATTCATTTACAAGGTGCATGGAAGCACCTGTCATATCCTAAGCAAGGTTGTCACTGTGCATATTCTTGTTAGTTTCTTAAAGTGAGGTAGTCAGTTTTTCCTCTCCAAAACACTTTCACTTATTTGGAATAAAAACATTCTGAGCCAGCGTGGTGGCTCACACCTGTCATCCCAGCACTTTGGGAGGCAGAGGCAAGAGGATCACCTAAGTCCAGGGGTAGACCAGTGTAGGTTGGCTGGGCTCAGTGGCTCAGCCTGTAATCCCGTGCCTTTGGGAGGCTGAGGTGAGTGGATTGCCTGAACCCACGGGTTCGAGACCCACCTGGGCAGTGAGACCTCATCTCTACAATAAATCAAAAAATCAGCCGGGCGTGGTGGTGCATGCTACTTGGAAGGCTGAGGTGGAAGGATTGCCGGAGGCCAGCAGGTTGAGGCTGCAGTGGCTGGGAGCGGCCACTGCACTCCAGTCTGGATGACAGAGTGAGACTCCAACTCAAAAAAAAAAAAAAAAAAAAGACCAGTGTAGGCAACTTTGCGAGACTTTGTCTCTACAATAAATAAAAAAATTGGCTGGGTGCAGTGGCTCACACCTGTAATCTCAGCACTTTGGGAGGCAGAGATGAGAGGATTGCCTGAGCCCAGGGGTTCCAGATCAACCTGGGCAACTTGGCAAGACCTCGTCTCTACAGTAAATCAAAAAAATTAGCTGGGCATGGTGGCGCACACCTGTGGTTCCAGTTACTTGGAAGGCTGAGGCAGAAGGATCACCTGAGCCCAGCAGGTCGAGGCTGCGGTGGCTGTGAGCATGTCACTGCACTCCAGCCTGGATGACAGAGTGAGACTCTGACTCAAAAAAAATCAAAAATAAGCCAGGCGTGGTGGCACATGCCTATAATCACAGCACTTTGGGAGTCAGAGGCAAGAGGATTGCCTAGGGGTTTGAGACCAGCCTGGGCAACTTGGCAAGACCTCATCTCTACAATAAATCAAAAAATTAGCTGGATGTGGTGGCACACACCTATAATTCCAGCTACTTGGAAGACTGAGGGGGAAGCATCACCAGAGCCCAGAAGGTCGAGGCTGTGGTGGTTGAAAGAACTTAGGCGCCAGTAACAAATCCATACCCATTAGGGACCAAGAGATTTATTAAATCGGTGGTTTCAGGGAAAAGGAAAAGGGTCTGTAGCTGTGGGGGTTAGGGAGGGAGACAGAGAGAGAGAGAGAGAGGGCTGTATTTATGGGCCTGGCTGGGGCTGGCCAGTGCCATGCTTGGGTTTTACTGGAGGAGACTATGAGGTAGTATTCCTATAGGGAGAAATTATTCGCGCGCAGGTTTAAACTTCTCAGGCGTGCGAAACCCTATGGGGAGAAGTCGGAGCTTAAGGCCTTTGTTGTCTTTATTTGGTTCTATATAGCGTTTAGCGCCATCTCGGGAGACGCCCTTCTGACTGTTCCCTGCGCCCTTCAGTGGCCATGACCGTGCCACTGTACTCCAGCCTGGATGACAGAGTAAGATTCCGAATCAAATAAAGAAGAAAACATTTTGTTGAAACATGGCTTATTTCAAATGGAATCCTGTGATTGACTATACCAGGCACCCCTTTGTCCTGCTTAGCTATTTCTTGTTTTCCCCAGTGGTCTTAGCTCTTGTCAGCTGTCTGAAGGTAGCCACTTGACCTTCCTATGGTGTCAGGAAGCTGTTCCAGCCTGTTGCTTCCCATGTCCAGCCACTCCAAGGAAGGCATGCTCAGCACCGCGGCGGGGATGGTCGTGAAGTGGTTCATGCTCAGATCAAGGTGCGTGAGCTTCAGCAGATTGCTAAGCTAAAAGGAGAGCAAGGTGTTTCAGGATAAATGCCCATGATGTAAATGACCAGAGGACTCACACTGCCAAAGGAGGCAGTTCACATCAAGTAGTGCTCACAATACCTTTGGGCTTTATTTAGTTGTTGTAGTCTACAACATAGTAAAAATAAAAATAAAAGCCAGGGTGCAGTGGCTCACACTTTTAATCCCAGCACTTTGGGAGGCCAAGGTGAGAGGATTGCTTGAGCCCACATGTTCAAGACCAGCCTGGGCAACTTGGTGAGACCTCGTCTCTACACTAAATAAATAAGTAAATTAGCTGGGTGTAATGGCACACTCCTGTAGTGGCAGCTACTTGGAAGGCTGAGGCAGAAGGATCGCCTGAGCCCAGCAGGTTGAGACTGTGGTGGCCATGAACATGACACTGCCCTCCAGCCTGGGTGGCAGAGTGAGACTCCGGCTCAAAAAAAAATAGAATAATATAACAAATACCAGTAGGGTCAGCTGAAGAAAAAAGTATTGAGAAGATTATATCCTCTGTGTGTACAGAGGTCAGACCTGTCCTGAACTTGATGGCTTTCATTGCCATGGCTTTTGTTACTATACATAAATATGTTCTTATATATTTCTATAGATAGTACTATTATATGTAAGTTTTCATAAAATTTAGTATTTATGTTTTTTCAGTTCAAGGATTATTTAGCTATATTAATCTTTTTTTTTTTTTTTTTGAGTCAGAGTCTCAATTCTATCACCCAGACTAGAATGCAGTGGCATGCTCACACCACCCCAGTGTTGACCTGCTGGACTCAGGCGATCCTTCTGCCTCAGCCTTCCAAGTAGCTGGAACTACAGGTGTGTGCTACCACACCCAGCTAATTTTTTGATTTACTGTATCACCAAGTTGCCCAGGCTGATCTCGAACCCAAAGTGCCTCCCAAAGTGCTGGGATTACAAGCTTGAGCCAACATGCCCGGCCCAATATCAGTTTTTGTTTGTTTCACTTGTTTTAAGACAGGGTCTCACTCTGTCACCCAGGCTGGAGTGCAGTGGCATGATCACAGGCAGCCTCAACCTCCTGGGCTGAGGCAATCGTTCTGCTTCAGCCTTCCAAGTAGCTGGGACTACAGGCACACACCACCACGCCCAGCTAATTTTTTGATTTTTTTTTGGAGATAAGGTCTCGCTATGTTGCCCAGGCTGGTCTCCAACTACTAGGCTCAAGCAATCCTGCCATCTCGGCCTCCCAAAGTGTTGGGATTACAGATAAGAACCACTGCGCCTGGCCTCTTTATTAGTTTTATTCTTAACAATTACACAATTGAGAAATGACTAGCAGGGGGGAACTAAAACCATAGTTATCGATGTAATCTTTCTGACCTCGTGTGGAAGATCACATATGTCCCTGTTAACGGCCAGTTCTAGTTTCTCCAAGCTGACACAGTTACTTAGCTCCTTGGGGACCATCTTGATTTTGTTGTAGCTAAGAATCAGTTCCTGAAGTCCAGTGAGCAGTCCTACAAAGAACAGTATGCAACAGAGGAGACAGATACAATGTTTCCAGTAACTGTTACAGCATAACCCGCCTACCCATGTAGTATTGACAAAATCACAATTTAGCTTCTTCCCTTTTCCCAGTCTGTGTCCTGCCTCCTCTTCAAACAAGGGCCGGGTTTATCAGTGAAATAAGCAAAAGAAGTAAAAACCTGCCAGGCACAGTGGCTCAAGCCTGTAATCCCAGCACTTTGGGAAGCCAAGACTAGAGTACTGCCTGAGCCCACGGGTTCAAGACCAGTCTGGGTAATTTGTGAGACCTCATCTCTACGGTAAATCAAAAAACAAGCCAGGTGTGGTAGTGCATGACTGTAGTTCCAGCTATTTGGAAGGCTGAGGTGGAAGGATTGCCTGAGCCCAGGGGGTCGAGGCTTTGGTGGCCATGAGTGTGCCAGGGCATTCCAGCCTGGGCAACAGAGTGAGGCTCTGACTCAAAAATAACTAAATAACTAAATAAAAGAATAAAATCCACATCTTCATACTGTGTTATCCACACAGTATCCTGGGCAATTTTCCATTCGGGGAATTTCTCCCCTTTGAGGACTCTTGCTATTTTTTTCTTGTCTTCAGCCTGTTCTCTAAGAAGAGCACCTGAACCAGCATAATTATTATTGCCAGAATCTGCAGAATATTTCCAAAGGGGCTTTTTCTCTCACTAAACTCTCATCTTGAGTCACCTCAGTAAATCCAGACGCTCGGATCCCCTGGGAGCTGCCATTAGATTAAATGCTTAAAATTAAGACTTGGGACTGTATAGAAACCGTTAGTTAGTCCATGGATCCAACAAATCTCCATGAAAAGCATGTCTGCAGGCAGATGGAGTGGGACAGGAACAAAGGAAATCTTCCTCACCAATGCCTCGGGGGATCTCTGAAATAGCATTTCGAGATAAATCTAGCACAATGAGGTTCTGGAATCTTCCAATGAATTCAGGAATTTTCAGCAAACCAGTTCTATGAAGTTGCCATTCCTGAAGCTGGGTCAGTTTCAGTAGAGAAGAAGGGAGGGTCTAAACGCAAAAGAAATGACAGTCACTATATTTCTTAAGTTATTTTAATATCATGCCACACTGACATGTGACATTTGATTGATAAAAGCAATCTAGAATGTGTTTTCCTGAGTGAATTACCTTTCCAGGTATGTTGTGCTACTTCTAAGTTTTAAGACCTTTACTCTTTGTGTTTTTTGCTAAACCTTCCAACGCCGATCGTGATAGTTCATAGCACACACACGTAGTGGTATCATAGCACACACACGTAGCAGTATGCGCCAATGATTCTGTTACATGGCATTAGCCTTTCCTAAGTACACGTGCTTTGGTGAGTGAACCTGTCAAAAAATCATGTTAATTAATAGCTCAAGATGCTTTTCCTCTTCTGTTTTGAAGTATAAGAATAGTTCTAGGCTGGGTGTGGTGACTCATGCCTATAATCACTTTGGAAGGCCAAGGTGAGAAGATTGCCTGAGCCCATGGGTTCAAGACCAAACTGGGCAACATGGCAAGACCTCATCTCTACAACTAATCAAGAAAAATTAGCCGGGCATGGTAGCACATGCCTGTGGTTCCAGCTACTTGGAAGGCTGAGGTGGAAGGATCTCCTGAGCCCAGCATGTCAAGGCTGCAGTGGCCATGAGCATGCCACTGTTATCCAGCCTGGGTGACAGAGAAAGACTGACTCAAAAAAAAAAAAAAAATAGTTCTGAAGATTTTTTAAAATTTGAGAATCTTAACAGCTTCAATTATTCTAAATTCTATACCTCTTCCCTTTCAGCCTAGAATAGCCAGAAGAAAAAAATAAAGGAGCTAACCCACAGCTAAATATATTGATATGCATGAAAATAAGCACTGACCCCAGGGTTAGAAGGCCTCTTAAAAATCAGAGAATGCTTGGTGTAATTAAGCAACTGTGAGTCTGTGGGTTTATCAGCTGGTAGATCTAAAAAAAAATTAATATTCATTTCTATTTTGGGAAGTTTTAACTGAGCATTTTTTGGAAAAGCTAATGATTTTCATTAGGCAGCTAGTCATCTTTTTATAGAAAATGAAAAATTGTTTATTAGAATGATTAACAGGAGAAATATCACAAATAATTGAAGCTTAGGCCAGGTTGAAGCAAATTGAAATTTTGCAAAACAATCATAAAGCCATGTTTCTTTTCAGTTATCTTGTTGCTCAAATTCACTTGGTGTATTATTATTATTATTATTATTATTATTTTGATTATTATTTTGGTTTTTCTGTTTTTGTTTTGTAGAGATGAGGTCTTGTCTCACTATGTTGCCTAGGCTGGTCTTGAACTCCTGGGCTCAAGTGATCCTCCCACCTTGGCCTCCCAAAGTGCATAAGCCACCACACCTGGCCAATTTGGTAGATTATAGAAGTTAGAATCTCTAATTATTCTAGTCTTAACCACACAGTCTCAGCATGCCTTCCCTCAACTGTCCCATAACATGCCAAACATGGGGATGAAGGGTCACTTATGTGAAGCTCACCTTCCATTCCTCTTTCTCTATCTTCAGAATGACTCTCCCATCCTCCCTGGTAACTTTCTCTTTGAGCTTGGTGAAGCTGACTCGTTCTTCCCAGATCCGCACTAGCCTGGGAGACCAGGGAATTGTTTTAGTTCATAGATAATGACCTAGGGAGCATGTGCTTTCACATTTCACATGGTATCTGGAAATCAGACAAGAATTTATATTGGAAGAATTATGATCAGCAGGCCAGGTGTGGTGGCTCATACCTGTGACCCCAGCAATTTCAGAGGCCGAGCCAAGAGGATTGCTTGAGCCAAGGAGTTTAAGACTAGCCTGGACAACATAGCAAGACCCCATCTCAACAAAAAATAAAAAAATACCTGGGTGTGGTGTTCTGTGCCTATAGTCCCAATTGCGCAGGAGACTGACACTGAACAATCGCTTGAGCTCATGAGTTGGAGGTTGCTGTGGGCTATGATCGTGCCACAATACTTCAGTTTGGGTAAAAGAGTAAGACCCCAACTCGAATAAACCAACCAACAAACGAATGAATGAATGATATGATTCGTGGTGAGTGCCTGTAGTGCCAGTTACTCAGGAGGCAGAGGCAGAAAGATCACCTGAGCCTAGGAGGTCAAGGTTGCAGTGAGCTCTGATTGTGCCACTGCACCCTAACTTGGGTTACAGTAAGACCCTGACTCAAAAATTCTAAAATTAAATTAAAATTTAAAACTACAAAACTGACTGGCAAATGTCGCAAAGAATTTTCTATTTGTGTTCTAGAAGGTTTTCATCCATAAAAAAGAGTAAATTTAAAGTGAAAATCTTTGTAATTTTAGCCTGTTAGAATGATACATAATAAATATAAGCAATCATCAGTGAGTGAAGTTTAATTAATCTGAATATTTATTCCAAAAATCTCTTGCCATTTGATAGTAAATATATATATATATACACACCCACACAGTTTTGCACATTAACTCATCTTCAGCAAAGATCTTATTTTAATGAACAAGAAGCCAAAAGAAAACCATGACTGTAACATTACTGTCTTTGTTTATTTATTTGTTTTTAGTGGGAGTCTCCCTCTGTCGCCCAGTAGGGCCATGGCATGCTCACAGCCATTATAACCTTGACCTGCTGGGCTCAGGCAATCCTTCTGCCTCAGTCTTCTAAGTAACTGGAACTATAGGCATGCACCACCACACCTGGATAATTTTTTGATTTATGGTAGAGATGAGGTCTTGCCTAGTTGTGCAGGCTGGTCTCAAACCCTTGCCCTAAGCCTCTTGCCTCAGCCTACCAAAGTACTGGGATTACAGGCATAGAGCCACTGTACCCGGCTGCATTAGGTGTCTTTATGTGTCTGGATTGTAAAATACTTCTTAGTGTCTATATATTTTAATCTGTCACTTGCCTGAAATCAAACTAATCTGCTAACAAGTGCCCTGTGGCAGTGGAATATGGGTATGGCCTTATGATCTGAGCAACTGACTCTCCCACAGATGTGAATAACTAAGAAAAAATGTATAACATCAGCTATACAATTGCATCACTTTTATAAAAATGAAACTATTTGGCGAGGCTCGGTGGCTCAGCCTTTAATCAATCCCAGCACTTTAGGAGACCGAGGCAAGAGGATTGCCTGAGCCCAGGAGTTCAAGACCTGCCTGGGCCACTTGGTGAGACCTTGTCTCTACAACAAATCACAAAACCTAGCTGGCATAGTGGCATGTGTCTGTATTTCTAGCTGCTTGGAAGGCTGAGACAGAAGCATCACCTGAGCCCAGCAGGTCAAGGCTGCAGTGGCCGTGAGTGTGCCACTGCACTCTACCCTGGGCGACAAGAGTGAGAATCCAACTCAAAACAAAAAACAAAAAACCCCCAAAGCTCTGTCCTTTGGGGACAACAGACACTGGGCACTGCTAAAGGGGGGCAGGAACAAGGGGTATAAAACCAGCCACTGGGGGCCATGCTCACCACTGGGGAGCAGGCTCACCAGAAGCCCAAGCCTGGCCCACATGCTATAGACTCATGTAGCAAATCCTTATATGTACCCGTAATTCTAAAATTAAAAAAAAAGTTCTGTCCTTAATGAGCTTACAGTCAAGCTAACTATTACTAGAGAAGTCTATCTCCTTCTCTGTGATGATTCCTAAATGCTTTCTGGCTCCGTATTTCTGTGATCCCAGCCTGGAAAGCACCATTTATTAACTTGGCTGGCTTGTTGCCTACAAGACGCGGGCTGTAATTACATGGTGTCCAAGTTTCTCCAGCTCTGACATTCTGCAATTCCTATGCTGCTTACTCTTGATGTTTTTTCACGTCTTGAATAGAAGCTGTCTAGCTCTGAAGCCCTTCGGTGTAAAATGAAGCCTTTCCGGGATGCTGTCTTGCTGGATCTTAGCACTGTGGGATTTCTTCCGTCTCTTCAATGCTGCTTGGCTTCAAAAGGTAGGACAATTTCTGTTTAAACTTCAGGGTATTTTTGTTTTTTTGAGTCAGAGTCTCACTCTGTCACCCAGACTGGAGTACAGTGGCATGCTCATGGCTACTACAGCCTCAACTTGCTGGGTTCAGGCAATCCTTCTGACTCAGTCTTCCAAATAGCCGGAACCACAGGCGCACACTACCATGCCCATCTAATTTAAAAAAAAAA